TTGTAGAGGGGGGGTCCCATGAGGACGCTCTGGCTGACCCCAAACAGTGCGACTAAGCGGGAAGAGGGGGACCCCTCCCCAGCCCTCTGCACCTGGGCTATGGCCGCCCCCACCTTCGGGAGGGTGTTCTCCTTCCTGTCCCGACCAGCAGGGGGCGTGGGCTGACAGTTTGCTCAGCAGAAAAGCCTTTAGGCCCCCAGCGGTTCTCAACCTGTGGGTCGCGACCCCTTTGTGGGGGGTCGCCGAAGACCATCGGAAAACACATATCTAATGACCTATTGTTTTTCTGATGAATCACTATGCTTTCATTATGTTCAATTGGTAGCAATGAAATTGGGGGTCGCCACAACAGGAGGAACTGTATTAAAGGGTCGCGGCATTAGGAGGGTTGAGAACCACTGCGGGGGGGAGTGGGGGGGCACGGGGTCTCCGAGCCCAGAGCCTCTTCCTAAACACGCCAAGACCCCGCTTGGGGGCACACGCGTGCATGCCTGCCTGTGTGTGTGACACACGAGGGCGGGGAGCACAGCCAGCAGAGCTGCAGTGATTGGGGATGCCTGCACCGGAGGGAGGGCCAGGCCTGATGTGCAAGAGGGAGCCATTGATGGTTCCTCTGTGAGGAAGAGATGGCTGACCACAGTGTGCAGGATGGGTTGGAGGGGAGATACGCAGAACACGGGTACCCATCAGGACACCCTGGCAAGCTTCTCTGACAAGGATGCCCAGGGTCTGAGGCCTCCCATGGGCCCCACTTTGCATGGGTACCCTCCCCCCCTTAGTCTCCAGGAGGCCATGGAGTCGGCCCTCTTACTGCTAAGGCCCAGAGATTTCAATATTGATCGTTCCTCGGGGCCAGGCTGTCCAACCTCAGACCCGAGGCTCCTCATCACTTCATTATGTTTAAACAAGCGCCAGCCCTGGCCGGTGTGGCTCAGTGGATAGAGCATCGGCCTGTGGGCTGAAGGGTCCCGGGTTCGATTCCGGTCAAGGGCACGTACTTTGGTTGCGGGCTCTGGCCCCCCCGGTTGGGGCAGGTGC